ACGTGCAGATTAAAAAAACATGTCTCTCTTTCTTTGTTTATTTTGAATTAACTTACATATATATATATATTTCACTATTATTTATTTAAATAATTAATTTTATTTCGTTCATTTTAAATTAATGCATATATACGTATATATTGCCGACGAGCAAAATAACTTTAAATATTTTGTTTAGTTTATGATTTTTGTTGCTTATTCTAAATAATTAATTTATATGTATGTATGTATATTTTTATTTCTTTCACTATAAGCTTATTTAAATAATTGGCTTGTATATGTGTATATTTTCCCGATGAACGAAATAACTTTATTCAAACTTTGGGTACCTATCTCAAAACAAATCCAATGATTTATAATAATTTAGTACCATTTTGCTCACTCTGCGATCAGAAAAGTACAGATATATTTCAATATCATCTGCTAATATTGAAAAACGGTTTTTATATAATTTCGGAGTTCATGCATTGCACCTTAGTTGTTGCTTTTTCCATCCTTATGTTTTTCTATAATTAACTTTGTTCTTTTCTTTTTCTTTTCCATTTTGCAATTTGCCATCTTCTATTTTCTTTTAAAAATGTTAGCAGATGCTATTGAATTAGCTTTTTAATAATTTGGTTTTATAGTTAATTCTGAACTAGTTTACATCATGGAACCTTCTTTGTGACCGAGTGAATAGTTTAAACTAAAAAGGATCAAACTTCTGGACCCAATTAATTTTCCCAAACTAATTAATGTTAGATGAAACTTCAAACTGTAAAATTATGTTGAATTTTCAACTTTATCTCAGTAAAGTGACAGATGAAGCAAGTGAGTAATTAGCAATGAGTGAGCTAGAGGAAACCATCAGTGATCGACCATGCAGCGTCGGTTCAATTAGCTTTACTAACAAAAACGCGTCTTATCTGTGACAGCCAAATCGAACTTCTAAAGGACGAAATTCTTCCCACAAAAGCGGGTCACATGTTTCACGAAGTCCAGTAGGGAATTGAGTGAAATTTTATGTCAACATATACTTAGTACATTAATGATAGAATTCGGTATTGAGCGAAATGTTATTTAAAATTCAAAATTAAAAATTAGGAATTACGGAATCCGAAGAGGTGATAACTAATGGAATCATTGGATGAATGTATATGAATAAATTACTATTTTCACTACTTTTATTTAGAGAATAGTATGAGCTTCTCAGAAAATGGTTTCTTGAAAAATTTGCTATTGCGAGTTTATTCCTGATTTCGCGAAGAATCATTTTCTACATATGCTCTGTTAATTAATGCAAAAAATGACCAGTCATGGAATAAGACATTATGTATTTCATTTACGATACATTGCATGTAACACAAATGATATTCAGTATGACATACGCAGCAAACAGATTGTGCGCAAAAAGTTGTCTTAAAAATTGACTCGATAAGCTATACACATTAAGGTAAAACATTAAAAAAGATACAAGGAAAACTGATCAAGCTCTGGGAAGGCTTTTTCACATCTCGTAGATTATTCAGTCACGTATATTAAAAAAAAGAACAAAACTAAAACAAAACAATAGAAACAATTCTTACTACGCACAAAATTCAGGAAAGGGAAAGTTACTAATTATGAATTAAGTGGCAGAATATGAGAAACAGTAAATTATCAAATGGAAATGACTTGATTTATCACTTATTTCACTGCAGTAACTTCTTAGACTACAGTAACACACGATCGACAAATTGTTCGGACAATCTGGCATTCAATTTTTCCCTAAAATTTTAATTTCACTTTAAATTTATTTTTATTTCAATGCTATTTATTGCTGATTTTCTTTGACAAAGTTCGAATTCATTTCACTCGAACTACATTGATAACTGGCATATTTTCTATGCAACTGCTAAAATTTTGAACTTTTTAAAGATGCGAAAGAAAAATTGGTGCAAGAAATGTGAAGAACTCTATCTCACCTTTGACAACGCAATGTAAAACTCATATAAGAATTTAATCAACATAAATTCAAAGGAACATAATATGAATGCGGAAAAAATAATGAGACAGAAAATTAAGTGTCGAAAGGAAATTTTTAACTGCATGAAAACAAATTTTGAATATGAGAAGACAATGGCAAAAAAGTGATTTGAAGGAAAACGAAGTGAATAAAAATATCACAATATCAACGGATTCAGTGAACAGCATTACCATCTTTGAATCAATACAGCACAACCAATCAACAAATTTAGAAATAAAAACAAAAAAAACCACAACCAAATTCATTTAGCAATCATTCGGAAATGAGCAGCAAGTTCTCAAAATTTGACGGCTGTAATAATACGAAATGGAATTATGTCAGAAAAGCAATTCATTCCTATTCTTATTTGGCTGTTCAATTAGCAATTTGTTCGTACCGAAATGAAAACTTTTTGTGACACACGTTTTGCCAAATCAGTCTTTCCCAATTTCTATAAAAAACTCAAATTGTCTCTGATTACTAATTTATGGAATAATAATCTAAAACTATGATCATAAATCACCAGAATTATCCAAGCCAACATTAGTTTGCTGGAAGGATTATTTTTTCTTATCGATCTACTGACTAAGTCACATTAGTTTCATACTTTGTTACAAACATATCTGTTCAAAATATTTTTTCCTGCAACTAAAATATAAAGAAAAATTAATAAGTCACTTTTACGTAGCAAAAATACAAAAAAAAAACAAGCAACCAACAAATTTTTTTGCTACATTCATAGCTAACATAAAAGTTTTGCCCAGAATTTAGGCTAATTTTCGGTAGATTTGAAAAATAAAGACTTCGAAAATGTCATCATTTTTGAAAAAAAAATTTTCAAATTATCATTAGCAGGTGAGTGATTCGATAACTTATTTTAGTATCACCTATTTACCAGAATTAGGAAAAATAAAGCTATAAACAGATAAATAATAAAATATAATAAATGAGTCAGAAATCATTCTCACGCTACTGAGCAAGAACAAACGAACAGATTCCAAACATCCCGTGATTCACCGAGCGGTAAACGTGCCGTATCTCCATTTCTGTTACTGTTGTCGTTATACATGATAATATATATATATACATTAATCTTATATTCTATATCTTTCTAACCTCCATTTCTGAATCATTTCAATATGTAAACACATGCTTAATTGTAATCCAGATTCATCTGCTTGCAAACATAAGCCTGTTTCCCGATGTTTCAGCATAAATGTCTGCAATTCTTCCTTTTCAATAACTTTAACACCAAAATATCTCAAAGTAAATAATGAAACAATTTGATCAAAACAGTTTTTATTTATAATTTTCAGAATTATTAAACATGCACTTTTGATAGGAATTACAAACTAATGCCATGGAAATTTACTTAGATCTTACTTTCTTCTCATAGTCAAAGACCATTTTTGACTGTGGTACCGAGCCAATACATTTCTCCATGCTAACACCTTTTACTGTGAAGGCTAAGCAAAGTTCATCACAACGGATTTCACCTTTTCCAGTATAAGTCCATAACTATAATTAAGTTAATATATTTTTTTCCCAGCTTCGCAGCCTACAACTTTCTTACACTCGCGTAACTAGTAAAAGTAAAACTGCTACTTCTTTAATATTTGTATTTTTATCTAGCAATCAGTGTTAATCATTTCGGCAAAAATGAAAGCCTACAATTAGTATCTTATATCTTGTGAATTAAGATCTGGTTTAAGAAACTAGTAGAATAGTTCTTGTTGAAATGCACGTAATCAATAAGAATTAACATATGAACCTAATGCTTAAATACGATTATTAATGATGGAATAACTATGAGTCGGATGAAGACATTTATTTATTCATTGTTTTCAAATGAAATCTTGCAAACCTGATTACCACCTTTACCGTGGCAGGGAAGCATCCCAGGAGAATCACCGGCTGGTCGACCTGCTGTATCCAGGCATTCCATTATTCCCATATTTTGTACCTACAACAACTCGCCATTAGAATATCATTTTTGAAAAAGATAACGCATTATCTACATCAATAATAATAATAGATAAGCATACACATTCGTGCAAGGATGTGTCCCTTTTAATCACTTTTATCTTATTTTCAAAAAATATCGTAACTGAAGTTAATAATTCCAGAAAGTAAAAGCATTGGACAATTGAAAAATTATGCAGCATTTGCTAAAAAAAAGGTCCACAATAAAAAACACCTGTCCTAAACTAAGAAAATCGATTGGAATGGGTGATTCTGGATAAATCGTCTCCAAATACCACCGGAAATTTTTACATTGCAGATTTTCGCGTAAAATTTTCCTTTCTGTTAAATCTCCAACATCGACATTTTTGGCAGCTGAAAAACAATTTTCCATTGGGAAAGTCATAGTGAAATATTTAACTAAAACTTTAATAACTTCTAGTAAATATCTAATAAATGGTTAAAACATACCAGGCACCATGTTATAAAATATATCTTTATATTCGTCCATCCAAACCTCAGCCGTGCGAGCGGCATTATGATGTATCACTTTTGCTGTACCACCCGGAAATGAATATGGAGTATGTTTCCGAAATACATGGCCAACTCGGGAACATGGATGAATCTCCAAACTACCACCACACATCCATACCTGAAAAAATAGTACAAGAAAAAACTTCGACTTTACTCTCAAATTGTACTTAATTTCATAAGTAATTATTGAAAGCTGTTAGCATAAAATTTTCAGTGCTGTTGAATTATACGGAAAACCAATTACATCTATATTTATTATATTCCACTTGCTTTCAAAAAATGTTTAAAAATTACAGAAAAATTGATTTTGCAAAATAGTCAAAGCACGGTTAACAAATCATTAAAAAATTCAAAATTCAGTAAATGTGACAATTACCCTAAATGAAATTTCTAGATTTTCACCACCCCAGACTTCCATTCCTTCATCGTAAGAGCCGATATCGTAGAAAAATTGCCTATCGATAGCAAACAAGCCACCAGCAATTGTCGGGGTCCTGAATAAATTGAATGCATGTGCCATTCAGCCAGAATTATAATAGTCTTTGATAGCAAACATTTTTCATATTTAAATTAAAAAAAAAAGAAAAAACGATGAAAAGATTACTGAAGCGGAACCGAACGATCGTGATTCCGCCGTTCCATTTCTCTCATTGGTACCTATAAAATAAGCGTGTGATAAAAAAATTCAATAAAAATACTGCGGATAAATTCGAAAAACTCTTGAAATTTTTGAAATTTTGTTCTATACCTAACTTACTGCACCAGTTACAAGAATGAAAACAAGAAATCACAAGAAATAATGCTTACTGGGTACCACCGAAAGTTTAAATGCCAATTGAAACCGCCCCAAGTAACATCAGAAGCAGTTATGTATTCAAAATTTTCATCCGAAATGACATCGATAATTGGTGCCACAACACGTTTTCGATCGGTTGATACTCGATCCAATAAAGGCTCCAACCATCCTTCTGTTACTTCAACATGCGCATCCAAAAACAACAGAACCTAAAAATTGAATTTCAATAAAACACTGTTATAAATTCAGCAGTTAAAAATGCTACTATAATCCTTCATATTTATTTTTTTTTGAAATTAAAGTGTTATAATGTTTATTAGTAAATTCTGAAGATATTAAAATCAATAAATTATGTGAGGTAGTAAAAAAAATTACAATAAAAACTTTCAAGTCTTCTTGAAATTTCCGTAAAATTATCCTAGAAAAATGTATGTATACCTTTCCTTTTGCCACTTTTGCACCACGTAAACGCGCTCGGATAAGACCCGATCGTTCAGGCAGATGAATAAGATGAAAGGGGAGTGAAAATCTTTTGACGTACAAGTCAAGAGGTTTTCGCAAATATGCTGAAATTTAAAAAGCAACGTGTGAAAACTAAAAGACAATTATAATATGTACTATTGCAACAGATATTTTTTTAAGTTTAAACGTATTTTTGAAAATTAGTCTTCAATTTTATAAAGTTATGAATTAACGTGCAATAATTTTATCCATACACTCATTATTACCTGATTTCAATTTTATCTCTTGTCTAATAACAGAATGAAGAGATGAAAGCAAGCAACTAACTCCGGTTTGACCAGTCATCGATGAGAATAACTTCTTTGATTAAATGAAGCGGACTTCGATTTATAACAGAGTGTATTGTACGAAGAAGTGTACTCCACGCTTCGTTATGAAAAACGATTATTATGGATACCGTGGGTAAACTGGTTACGTCGTATTTGCGTGCAACTTCACGACACCTTAATTATCATAAACCAATCTGTAGATTCGAAATCCCATTAAGCTAATTATTTACAAAGATAATTATCGATAACAAACTCGCGAAAAATTCACTTTCTTGTTACAAGTAAGATTAAACTTTTAACTAGCACTAAATTTGTAAAATCAATTCTGGCCTGCCAATAAGTACAATAGTTGAGATTAATCGCCGTTACCACAAAATGACATCATTCTTTTAATTTGATATGACAACTAACTTTGATGATCGGTAATCGGGAAGTGCCCTATTGATAGATATCAGATCCGAAGCCATAACATCAAACTGGTTTTCCTTAAATTTACGTGTTCGTTCTTCTTGCTGTGATGGATCGATGATCACTGCACTACCCATTTCGCCTGGTCCATTTCTTTCGAAAGTTAAACCTTAAATAGCAAAAATTTTCTAAAAAAATTTCCAAAAATTCTGTGACATACATTTTAGCATAATAATTCACAATAACAAACATGTTTTTTGTTTTTAAAAAAATTACACAAAGAGAAAATGAAGTACGAACTCTTTTAACAATCCTTTAAGAAAGGAAAAATATTCTGATAAAACTGTGAACAATTATTCTGTTAGAAATAACAAACTTTTTAGCAATATTCCCAATTCTTCCATAGCTTCATGATCAATAAAATCATTTGCTTGAACCCTTAAATCATCATCAGAACGACGATCACCTCGCAATTTAACTGCAACTCTGAAACAAAAATTAAACAAAAATATCATCTGGATCACCGAAAGATTAGCTTTCAAATTGTAAACTACTTACAACCGAATTTTATTGTAAAGGAAAAAAATAGAGTAAGACTTACTTTGAAGTTATTCTGCCATTACCAGTATCAAGAAAATAAAATAATATGATGACATCAATCATCATCCATATTAAGGAAGTTAGCACAATCGCGCGACACACATCAACCCGTAATCGCATCTGTCTTAATCTCGACAAAAAACACGAAAATCAATGATCGTTGGGAGAAATGTAAGAAAATGAACTTGTCAAAATTGCAAATGTAGAATTTGGGAAATTAAAATTAAAATGAATTTCAAAGTTGTACTATAATACAATAGCAAAGATTTACACATTTTTAATTTACACTGACTTTAATTGGAAACGCTTGGCCTGAAATTGAATGTACAAAATAAAATACGTTGTCTGCTTTCCTTACAGCAAGTAAACAATACGATCTGCAAGAGTCATAACAGTGTTAGGTACCGCTGATTATAAAAGAGAACTTATGTGTTGAAGAAATCCCACGAACCTACCTATGAAATTTTGATGCTGAAAAAGTCAAACAAGTAAAGTGAGCTATGGTATGTTAAAATAACTTCTATTTATAACAAAATAGTCAGCAGAAAAAAAGAACCAAATATGTATGTCCCTTTAATGACAGATAAAGTTCACTTTAGAAATTTCAAATTTCGAGATCGATGAATACAAATAGTTCTCATGATTGGTGCAAGTGAATCGAAATTACAATTCAATCAAAATTCGCTTATTGGTGGAAGCATGTTTTTTCGAAATTTTACTAAATAAACAAATTAAAAAGTTTCTTTGCCATACATAAACAACCTTTTTTCCTTTTTGTTTCTCTCTTAAAAATGAAAAACTTTTTATAATGATTAATTGCTTTGTAAAGTTCAAGAATAATGATTGTCATCTAGGAAGGGATCTGCATTATCATCACTGAAATGAAATTATAAACTACTGGTTGGAAAAAATTAAAGAAAAGTTAATTTAATTAACAGTTTAGATATTAAAATCAGTGCCAAAAATTCTCTTTCAACTTTTATTTGATCAGATGGATATCGAATCAAATCACGGACTATTATTTGTAAATATATGAGTACGTATGTAAGTCTCTACCAAATCATTTGTGTATAATTGGTCGCATATTTCTCATTGATTTTGTGAATTTGATTTTGAAACGAATCGAAAACTTGATAAGCCTACTTTAGCATTGATATTAATAATTGATATTAAT